TATAATATATATATATATATTTGTAAAATACAACTATATAGATAGTTGTCATACATAGATGATTATAGATATGTCGATCGATCGATGGGCAGATATAGGAAAAGTGAAGAAACCACCAAAGAACCCAGAGCCATCACAAATCGAACGCCTCCCCCCCTTCTCCCAAAAACATCCCTATCACCCGTAGGGTGATCCTATCGGTATGTATGCCCTTCGTGGCCCCATACGCATGCGCTTCGTGGCCCCGCTGTCGCCCTTCGTGGCCCCCTCGCTGCACTTCGTGGCCCCGTTGCTGCCCTCAGTGGCCCCGTCCTTGCCCTTTTCGGCCCAACATACGTATGCCCTTCGTGGCCCCCGCTCGTTCGCGCCCGTCGTGGCCCCATATGCTTGCCGTTTGTGACCCCGCTGTCGCCGTTTGTGGTCCTTTCGCTGTCCTACGTGGCCCCGTTGCTTCCCTCAGTGGCCCCGTCGTTGCCCTCTGTGGCCCCGCATGAAGTGCCCTTCGTGGCCCCCGCTCGTTCGCGCCCTTCGTGGCCCCATACGCATACTCTTCGTGTCCCCGCTGTCGCCCTTCGTGGCCCTCTTCCTGCCCTTCGTGGCTCCGCTGTCGCTCTCGTTCTCGCTCTCGCTCTCGCTTTCGCTCGCCGCCGCCGCCGCCGCCGCCGCCGTCGTCGTCGTCGTCGTCGTCGTCGTCGTCGTCGTATTCGTCGTCGTCGTCGTCGTCGTCGGCGTCGTCGTCGTCGTCGTCGTCGTCGTCGTCGTGGTCGGTCCCCTGTCCGTCCCTCTTGGGATCGGGTTGCCGCCGATCAGCGCTGCCGCTGGCCAGGCCGACGGTCCGTCGCCGCCCCGCCGGCCGCTTGCCGGGGCCCGGCCTGCCTTGAAGAATAATTATTCTTGATCCCCCCCCTCAGGTGACCATTTGTGTTTTTTCAATTGAAGTGCTTCCCCCGGGGCTCGCACCCTGTTATTTTATCAGGGGAAGGCTCTAGGGTCAAACTGCCTTATTGGCCCCCTAACTACAATAACAACGGCTCCCGCCTGATACTTCCTAACAACGTTTTCCAAAATTGCGCTCTCGCGCGGGACTTCCTCACAATGTATTCAGGAATCGCACTCTCGCGTGGGAATTCTACGCAATTTATTCAGACGCCGCGCCCACGACATTCAGGAGTCACGCTCTCGCTGTGGAATTCCTCACGATTGATTTGGGAATCGAGCTGTCGCTCGAGACTTCCTCGCGATTCATGCAGGACGCACGCTTGAGCAACCCGCCTGCTCGACCTAGCCGCCTGGGCCCTCGTCCCAACCCGCCTGGTAGGGTCTACCCGCCCGATCTGCCCGTCTGGTTCTGCCACGTGTTTTCTGCTCCTAACCCGTGCTCCATTCTCCTCCCTCCTCCTTGTCCTTCCTTCCAACCGTCCTCTCTTCCCCTGCCTCAGAGGCTGCACGAAATACACGTTGCAGGACGAGGACGACGAGAGCGGGTATAGAGGGTTCGGGATATACGTGATGAGTGGCACGCGAGCAGATAAGAGCGAGCAGTCTTCAAATGATTGTTGTTGTTGTGTTGAAATTGATGTTTGTGTTGATGCTGATGTTGATGTCGAAGGAGGAGGGGGATGCGGACGATGACGAGGGCGAGGAGCAGGACGAAGACAATGATGCTGAATATGCTGATTCTGACGATGATGATAATGCTTATGCTGGTGACGACGATGAGGATGCAGGTGATAATGATGATGGTGATGATGATGATGCTGTTGATGATTGAGACGGGGATGATGATGGTGATGATGATGATGATGATGGTGGCGATGTCTACGATGGTGGTGGAATGCCGCTGCTGCGCCTGATGATGATGCTGCTGGTGCTGATGATGATGGTGCTGATGATGACTAAGAAGAAGATGATGATGCTGATGATGATGCTGCTGCTGATGATGATGAGGATGATTGTGTCGATGATGATGATGAAGATGATGATGCTGCTGCTGATGATAAGGATGATGAGGATGATGAGGATGATTGTGTCGATGATGATGATGATGATGATGATGATGATGATGATGATGATGATGCTGATGCTGATGCTGATGCTGCTGCTGCTGATGATGATGATGATGATGCTGATGAGGATGAGGATGATGATGATGGTGATGATGCTTATGATGATGATGATGATGATGATGATGATGATGATGATGATGATGATGACGATTATGATGATGATGATGATGATGATGATGATGATGATGATGATGATGATGATGATGATGATGATGATGATGATGATGATGATGATGATGATGATGATGATGATGATGATGATGATGATGATGATGATGATGATGATGATGATGATGGTGGTGGTGGTGGTGGTGGTGATTATGATGGTGTTGTTGTTGATAATGATGATGCTGATGCTGATGCTGATGCTGATGCTGATGCTGATGGTGATGCTGATGGTGATGCTGATCATGCTGATCATAAGGAGGAGGGGGAGGAGGAGGAGGAGGAGGAGGAGGAGGAGGAGGAGGAGGAGGAGGAGGAGGAGGACATCATCCTGGATGTCGGCCGCCGCCTCTCGCCAGGCCCTGGCCTGGGCCTCGGCCGCAGTGCGACGGGCAGATGCTGGCCCTCGTGCGGTGCGGCTCTCGTGGGCCCATGCGCTGCCGCGCGTCGCACTCGAGACTGGCGCCGTGGCCCTTCGGGCCTCGCTGTGGGAGCCCTCCGTCGTCTTGGCTGGGCGAGGTCCGAAAGTCCTGCCAGGACGGCGCCCAGAGTCGATAGGAGGAGGGAGGAGGTAGGGAGGGAGGGAGGGAGGAGGTGGATGAGGCGGAGGATGAGGAGGGAGGAGGAGGGCCGAGGAGGAAGAAGAGGAGCAATGAGGGGGAGGAGGAGAAGGGGGAGGGGAAGCACGATGACGAGGACGATGATGACGATGGTGATGGTGATGGTGCTGGTGCTTGTGATGGTCTGACTGATGGTGATGGTGATGGCGGTATTGGTGGTGGTGATGACGCGAAGGAGGAGGAGTTGGAGAAGGAGGAGGAGGACGAGGATGAGGAGTGGAAGACGGGGATGAGGAGAAGGATGAGGATCGGGGGGATGAGGAGAAGGATCATGATTATGAATACGGTGCGAAGGAGGAGAGGAGGAGGAGAAGGGGAGGTACGGGTGATGATGCTGATGCTGATGCTGATGCTGATGTTGCTGCTGTTGCTGATGCTGATGCTGATGACGATGCTGTTGATGATGATGCTGCTGCTGATGATGATGATAAGGATGATGATGATGATGATGATGATGATGATGATGATGATGCTGATGATGATGATGATGATGATGCTGCTCATGATTATGATTCTGATGATGACAATGCTGAAACGGATGATGATGATGATGCTGGCGACGACGACGATGATTGTGATGATGATGTTGATGACGATGGTGATGAACATGACGATGTTGATGGTGATGTTGATGATGTTGCTGATGATGATGCTGATGAAGAGGAGGAGGAGAAGGAGGACGAGGAGGTGAGGCAGCAGGGGGATGCGGACGTGAAGTCGGAGGGGCCCGGAACGGCGGCTTGAAGTCTTGAGCCGATGCGTATGAGATAACAGCCGTCGGATCCAATTCAGAAAGCGCAGATCCGATTTTGGATTTGGTTCATGTTTAGGTGGATCCGTTTTCGACGATGATGATACTGGTAATGATAATGATGATGATGATGATGATGATGATGATGATGATGATGATGATGATGATGATGATGCTGATGGTGATGATGCTGATGCTGATGGTGATGATGATCATGATTTTCATAAGAAGGAGGAGGGTGAGGACTTGCCGATGATTCTGATGTTGATGATTCTGATGAGGATGATGAGGATGAGGATGATAATTATGCTGATGTTGATTCTGATGCTGGTGCTGGTGCTGGTGCTGATGGTGATACTGATGGTGATGATGACCATGATAACGATGATAATGACCATGCTGACGCTGATGATGATGATGCTGATGATCATGATGATGATGATGATGATGATGATGATGATGATGATGACGGTGACGGTGACGATGATGATGATGATGATGATGATGATGATGATGATGATGATTCTGATGAGGATGATGACGACGATGACGATAATGATGATGCTGATGAGTCTGATGATGCTGCTGCTGGTGCTGACGATGATGATGATGATGACGATGATGCTGACCACGATGATGAAAGTGATGATGATGCTGATGGTGATGATGAGGATGCTGATGCCGATGCCGATGCTGCTGATGATGCTGCTGATGATGATGACGATGATGATGATGATGACGATGATGATGATGATGATGATGATGATGGTGATGACGATGATGATGATGATGATGATGATGATGATGATGGTGATGATGATGATGATGATGATGATGATGATGATGATGATGATGATGATGATGCTTGTGATGATGCTTGTGATGATGATGATGATGAAGATGATGATGATGATGATGATGATGATGATGATGATGATGATGATGATGATGATGATGATGCTGAATATGATGATGATGATGATGATGATGATGATGATGATGATGATGATGATGATGAGGATGAGGATGAGGATGAGGATGAGGATGAGGATGAGGATGAGGATGAGGATGAGGATGAGATGAGGATGAGGATGAGGATGAGGAAGGATGAGGATGAGGAGGAGAGATGAGGATGAGGATGAGGATGATGAGATGATGAGATGAGATGAGGAGGACGAGGAGGAGGAGGAGGAGGAGGAGGAGGAGGAGGAGGAGGGGAGGAGGAGGAGGAGGAGGAGGAGGAGGAGGAGGAGGAGGAGGAGGAGGAGGAGGAGGAGGAGGAGGAGGTAGGTGGAAGAGGGGTAGGAGGAGGAAGGGTGTAAATAAGGGCAAGCTTTTGCAGTCTTGCTCAGCCAGCATCCTCGAGATCCCCTTCTTCCTCCGTCCCGTCGCCGCGAGGAGGAGGGCTCATCGCGGCGGCCCCCACTGCCAGCTCCAGCGCCGGCGCCAGCCCCGCCCCCCGTGCTCGTGGCACCACTCCCCCTTCCATCCTCCCCTCCCCACACCTCCTCGTGCCTTGAAAATTTTTAAAGCGGAGGTTTTTGGTTGCTTTCGGCCTCTGGGGCCCTCGCCGTGCCATGGGATCGTCTCAAACTACTCGGGACGCAAAGCTGGCCCTGGAGAAGTGTCGGGACCTCTGGGGACCCTGTATTGATTGAAGTCTTCCGAGACACCCGGCCCCTTAGGCGACAATTTGTACGAATGCTCCATACAAAGAGCACGTTGCGAGGATGCTGGGCCTCCCTCGATTCACCCAGCTCACTGTCTGTATCAACGCTCCAGTCAACCAACCTCTGGACGTCCCAGGAGCCCACGAAAGGGGCGACAGTTGCGCAGTTGGCAGCCCCTCGGGGGGCCGTGACGTCTCGTCTGACTATTGCCTCATTCTAAACGAGAGCCCACTGCAGGAGGGTTGGGAAACATCAAGACATCCAGCCTCTGGGCCCCCAGGAATTCTAGACGCTTCGCGTATACCCACCAGCCCTCCGTAGCCTGGCTCAAGCAGCCTGGTTCAAGAGCAAAGACTCGCCAGTCCATCGCTGCCCGCTGCCCGACGCACACTTGCGAGCGGCGCTGCGGCTGCCCTACTCGGCCTCCGCGCTTACAGCATGTCCGCGCGCGATGGTGGCGCGCTGGCCGCGCAGGTGGCCGCGCTGAAAGACTGCGCCAAGCAGGCGGTGGACAACGGGGAGTACGGCCAGGTTGTGAAGCTCGTTGCGCGGATCCAGCAACTGGAGCGGCTGCAGCGGGTCGAGGCAATGGGCGCGTCGCTGAGAGCTGTCGAGGAACGCGTGAGCGCACACATCGCCAGCATGGACTCCGCCCAGGCCGAGCTTCGCCGCGTCATGGCCGCGCTGGCCGAGGCCGGGGCGCCACTGCCGCACGCGCCGCCAGAGAACGCGGGAGTCCCCGCGCCAGAGCCCGACGAGGCCGGGGCGCAGCAGTTACCGCACCTGCCCGAGTTGGAGGAGGTGGAAGTGACGGAGCGGAAGCAGGAGCTGTGGGAAGAGTTCGGCGGCCTTGAGCTTGACCCCGTGCTCGGCAGCGGGGCGGTTGTCCTGGTGGACGCGGAGTGGGTGGTGGAGCGGGCGGGCTCTGGCGGAACCCTCGAGCCGCGCCAGGCCTTGCCGCCGACTGCGTTCATGCCCCACAGCGGGGTCAAAGCTGCCACAGCTGACACTGGCAATCGCCAAATGCCACTGCTGCACATCGCTTGTGTCTCACATTGCTGGTTGCAGGCTAATCACCCCGACCCTCACGGCCACAACCTGCGCATCCTTGGCCGGGCTTTGCAGCTGCTGTCCGCAGATCGTCACCCTAATTTCACTGGCCGCTGGGCAGTGTTCATGGATTTCTGCTGCATCCATCAGAACTGCAGGGATCACGAGGGTGCCCCTCAGCTGCACACGTATCAGCGGCTCGAAGTCGAAGGGTCAGAGTGCTTTGAGGCCGACGCAATCGGCAAATTCGAGCGCGAGCGTGAGCTCTTCAAGGAGGCCCTGGACAGCCTTGGGAGTTTCTACTCCCACCCTGCCACAGTCGTATTCATGCTGACACGGTTCCCCGATGATTACGACAATCCTGCAGCATACACCCGATCTGGCAACACTGCGCCTTATTTCGACCGCGGCTGGTGTTTTTGCGAGTCCTCATGGGCAATGTTGACGAAGCATTATACCCATGTGGTGGATCTCGGACAAGCCACTGGAGACGAGCGTGAATATTATGGCCAGTTCGGCTCTGACGTTTCGCTGGTGCACACGTGCGCCGCAGGGCGGAAGGCGCCCGCCTTGCCCGACGCTGTCGAAGCGGAGCTCCACAGCAAGGGCTTCACGAACGGCAAGAACGATCGCCCACGGGTTGCCGAGCTGTACCGGTCGGCGTTCGCGCAGCGCTTCGAGTCCGCAGAGCTGCTGAGGTACGCGAGGCTGGGATGGGGGGACGAGCAGGTCAGGCAGGTGGCCGCGGTGCTTGCTTCGGGCGCCGCGCCGCGCCTGCAGCGGCTCTACCTCTCCAGCAACCGCGTGGGGGACGAGGGCGCGGCCGCCCTGGCGGAGGCCCTCCGGGCCCCGGGCGCCCTGCCGCGCCTGCAGCGGCTCTACCTCTTCGACAACCGCGTGGGGGACGAGGGCGCGGCCGCCCTGGCGGAGGCCCTCCGGGCCCCGGGCGCCCTGCCGAGCCTGCAGGCGCTCGGCCTCGACGGCAACCGCGTGGGGGACGAGGGCGCGGCCGCCCTGGCGGAGGCCCTCCGGGCCCCGGGCGCCCTGCCGAGCCTGCAGGCGCTCGGCCTCGACGGCAACCGCGCGGGGGACGAGGGCGCGGCCGCCCTGGCGGAGGCCCTCCGGGCCCCGGGCGCCCTGCCGCGCCTGCAGGTGCTCGGTCTCGCTGGCAACCGCGTGGGGGACGAGGGCGCGGCCGCGCTGCGCGCGGCGTGGGCCGCGGGCGGCCGCCCCGTGGGCGGCGAGTTCGCGGACCCGAGGGGCGTGTTTCTCTGAGGGGCCTGCCCGCTCGGAGTCTCTGGAGCCCTCGCTGCCCTGAATCTCGTCCTCTTTTTGTTTCCCAACCCTCCTGCGTTGGGTACTCGTTTTGAATAGAGCACTGCGGTCGCGTCTTCCCTCCTCCTTCCCGTCCCTCTCCTCTCCTCCCTTCTCCTCCTCCTCCTCCTCCTCCTCCTCCTCCTCCTCCTCCTCCTCCTCCTCCTCCTCCTCTTTTCTATTGCATCCCTTCTCCTCTCTTCGCTCCTCCTCTTCTCTCTTGCTGCCCTTCACCTCTCAACTTCGGTCCTCCTCTTCTCTCTTGCATTTTACGTCGCTTGCCCCTCGCCATCCCTGGGGAGCTGCGATCTGTGAAACTGGCGCCACGTTCGAGGGCGACGGGCGGCTGGGGTTCAGCAGGCGTGAACGTCCCTAACGGGGACTCAGAATTTATACCTCGCCATTCTGGGGGCTGCGATCTGTGAAACTGTCGCTACTTTCGAGGGCTGCTGAGGGGGCCCAGCTGAGGTAAGTCTACGAGACTCAGCATTAGAACCTCTCCAGCCCTGGTGGGTGGGGGCTGCGATCGTGAAACTGTCGCCACATTCGAGGCAGCTGGGGGGCCCCAGCACAGCGACGTCTTACGGGGAACTCAGATTATACCTCGCCATCCCTGGGGTCGATCTGCGAAACTGTCGCCTAACTTTTCGGAGGCTGCTGGGCACCCAGCACAGCCTTGCACCCAGCGGGCGACTCAAATTAGACCTCGCCATCCCTGGGGGGCTGCGATCTGTGAAACTGTCGCCACATTCGAGGCCTGCTGGGGGGCCCAGCACAGTGGGTACCCACCGCGGACTCAAATTAGACCTCGCCATCCCTGGGGGGCTGCGATCTGTGAAACTGTCGCCATTTTCGATGCCTGCTGGGGGGCCCAGCACAGTGAGGGCGACGCGCAGATTCAAATTAGACCTCGCCATCCCTTGGGGGCTGCGATCTGTGAAACTGTCGCCACTTTCGAGGCCTGCTGGGGGGCCCAGCGCAGTGACGCCACGGGCAGATTCAAATGAGCCCTCGCCATCCCTGGGGGGCTGCGATCTGTGAAACTGTCGCCACTTTCGAGGGCTGCTGGGGGGCCCAGCACAGTGGGTACCCACAGCGAACTCAGATGAGACCCCTTCGCCATCCCAGCACAGTCTGCACCCTGCGGCGAACATCAAATGGGTAAACCTTCGCCAGCCCTGTTGGGCCTGCGATCTGTGAAACTGTCGCCACTTACTTTCGAGGGCTGCTGGGGGGCCCAGCACAGTCTGCACACTCACTGCGGATTCAAATGGGACCAACTCGCCATCCCTGGGTGGCTGCGATCTGCGAAACCTGTCGCACTTTCCGAGTCCTGCTGGGGGGCCCATCACAGACGCGCGGGGACTCAGATTAGACCTCGCCATCCCTGGGGGGCTGCGATCTGCGAAACTGTCGCCACTTTCGAGGGCTGCTGGGGGGGCCAGCACAGTGGGTACCCACGGCGGACTCAAATGTGACCTCGCCATCCCTGGGGGGCTGCGATCTGTGAAACTGTCGCCACTTTCGAGGCCTGCTGGGGGGCCCAGCCCAGTGGGTACCCACGGCGGATTCAAATGGGACCTCGCCATCCCTGGGGGGCTGCGATCTGTGAAACTGTCGCCACTTTCGAGGCCTGCTGGGGGGCCCAGCACAGTGGGTACCCACGGCGGACTCAAATGGGACCTCGCCATCCCTGTGGGGCTGCGATCTGTGAAACTGTCGCCACTTTCGCGGCCTGCTGGGGGGCCCAACACAGTGATGCCACACGTAAATTCAAATCAGATTTCGCCATCCCTGGGGGGTTGCGATATGTGACACTGTCGCCACTTTCGAGGCCTGCTGGCGGGGCCCAGCACAGTGACGCCTCCCAAGTAGCTTACACATCAAATTGATTGTCCATACAAGTTTCGGACAACTCTTCGTTTCCATTGATACAAATGGGTTGGGTACGTCAACGTTTTTTTTGTTTTTTCTTTCTTTCTTTCTCTCTCTCTCTCTCTCTCTCTTTGCACCTCTCTAAAAATTATCTTGGCGATGGACCCAACCAAATGCAGTTACGAGTGCCGCAAAGCAGGTTGAACGAATGAGAGGGAACTCTCTAAGGGGCCACGAAGCGTGTGAAAGGTGTGCCGAAATGGGTGCGGTGCCGCCTTGCGAACGCAGCCACTGGGGCCCTCGGTGGAGCTCCCTATGGGGCCACGAGACGTGTGAGGGGTGTGCCGAAATTGGTGCGGTGTCGCCATGCGAACGCAGCCACTGGGGCCTTCGGTGGAGCTCCCTATGGGGCCACGAAGCGTGTGAGGGGTGTGCCGAAATGGGCGCGGTGCCGCCATGCGGACGCAGCCACTGGGGCCCTTGGTGGAGCTCCCTATGGAGCCAAGAACGGGGCTAAGAAACGTGTGAGCGGTGTCCCGAAATGGGCGCGGTGCCGCCATGCGAACGCAGCCACTGGAGCCCTCGGTGGAGCTCCCTATGGGGCCACGACGCGTGTGAGGGGTGTCCCGAAATGGGCGCGGTGCCGCCATGCGAACGCAGCCACTGGAGCCCTCGGCGGATCTCCCTATGGGGCCACGAAACGTGTGAGGGGTGCGCCGAAAAGGTGCGGTGCCGCCATGCGAACGCCGCCATTGAGGCCCTCGGTGGAACTCCCTATGCGGCCACGAAGCGTGTGAGGGGTGTGCCGAAATGGGCGCGGTGCCGCCATGCGAACGCAGCCACTGGAGGCCTCGGTGGGGCTCCCCATGGGGCCACGAAACGTGTGAGGGGTGTGCCGAAATGGGCGCGGTGCCGCCATGCGAACGCAGCCACGGGGGCCCTCGGTGGAGCTCCCTCAGGGGCCACGAAACGTGTGAGGGGTGTGCCGAAATGGGTGCGGTGCCGCCATGCGAACGCAGCCACTGGGGGCCTTCGGTAGAGCTTTCTATGGGGCCACGAAACGTGTGAGGGGTGTGCCGAGGGTGCGGTGCCGCGTGGAGCTCCCTATGGGGCCACGAAGCGTGTGAGGGGTGTGCCGAAATGGGTGCGGTGCCGCCATGCGAACGCAGCCACTGGAACCTTCGGCGGAGCTCCCTATGGGGCCACGAAACGTGTGAGGGGTGTGCCGGCGCGGTGCCGCCATGCGAACGCAGCCATTGGGGCCTTCGGTGGAGCTCCCTATGCGGCCACGAAACGTGTGAGGGGTGTGCCGAAATGGGCGCGGTGCCGCCATGCGAACGCAGCCACTGGAGCCCTCGGCGGAGCTCCCTATGGGGCCACGAAGCGTGTGAGGGGTGCGCCGAAATGAGTGCGGTGCCGCCATGCGAACGCAGCCATTGGGGCCTTCGGTGGAGCTCCCTATGGGGCCACGAAGCGTGTGAGGGGTGTGCCGAAATTGGTGCGGTGCCGCCGTGCGAACGCAGCCATTGGGGCCTTCGGTGGAGCTCCCTATGGGGCCACGAAGCGTGTGAGGGGTGTGCCGAAATTGGTGCGGTGCCGCCATGCGAACGCAGCCACTGGGGCCCTCGGTGGATCTTCCAATGGGGCCACGAAGCGTGTGAGGGGTGTGCCGAAATGGGCGCGGTGCCGCCATGCGAACGCAGCCACTGGAACCTTCGGTGGAGCTCCTTCTGGGGCCACGAAACGTGTGAGCGGTGTGCCGAAGTGGGTGTGGCTGACGCGGAGGGGGAGGAGGGAGGAGGGGGAGGAGGAGTGAGTGAGGGACGCGGGGCGCTGTCTCTTCAAAACGAGGACCCAAAACCACAGGATGGTTGGGGAAAAAAGTAAGCGCACAGGCTACCGTTTGGTGGTTGCTCAGCCTCGTGAGCGCACACCAGTGGTCTGCCTCTTACTGGATGGTGCTCGGTCACCCCCCATTGACACTTGTGTTCAGCGGCTTTTGGCTGCGCCCCCCTCCTGCCCTGAGACCTGCCCTGGAACACTCTCCTTCGTCGCCGACCTGGCCATGGTTCTATTACAAGGACGTCTTGGCCCGCCGTCAGCACGCCGCCAGCGAACGGTACGGCCCAGCAGCCCTGCAGCTGCCAGCTATCGGTTCGCCCTGGCGTCGGAGGTAGTCGGCTTCTGCAAGGGCAGCGTGGCAGGTGTTGAGTGGGTGCGGCTGTCCGCCATACACCTGGTGATTGGCTTCGTCAAGTGAGCGGCCCTGCATTGAGTGGTTCAGCCTTCTGCGGTTCGACTTCGTTTCACTCTTTTCGGCGCAGCCACAGCCACCAGCCCTTGTCAGTACATTGCATCGTTGTGCCCCCGAACAACGTGATTCGGATACGATGTGAGCGCACAGGCTACCGGCTGGAGGTTGCTCAGCCTCGTGAGCGCACACCAGTGGTCTGCCTCTACTGGATGGCGCTCTGACGCGGATCAGCCACACCTCAGCTTCAGTGAGCCTTGGTGAGTCGGGTTGCCCTCGCCGCACCATCGTATGCTCGTGGAGCTGCAGTGAGTCTGAGTTAGTTGCTCTCGCTCGCGCTCACCCCCCTTTTTTTCCGAGGTCTTGAACGGACTGGCTCTGTGTGCGCAGGCGTGGGTTCCGCCTGGTCTTTGGCCACTCGGACTCGCGTTCTGCCCGTGGCCTTTACAGTGCTTTGCTGTCCGTCTTGGCCTCGCTTCCGTTTGCGGTTCGGCGGGAGTTTGGCGCCGCAAGGGCGACTTCTCCCCCCCGTTCCGTTGCCGGTTGCCGCGCCTTTTGCTTCCCCACCAGCCGGGCTGTCTGGGCCGGTCACCAGCAGACGCTGAATTGCGTCTCGATGAGGGGCATTTTGTCCTTGGCATGTGCATGCGCCATTGCGTGTGTTGTCCGCTGGAGTCTGCGGCAATCTCGCGCCAACTATCAACGTACCGCGCCCCGGACGTTGTGCCCGCTCCATGTCCCT